CCACAGACAGGACAGCTCCATGGACCAAGGCTGCAGAGAAATCACTACCTTGGCTTTTCTGGTGCTGGAAGTCAACCCCGCGCCGTGTGCACATGAGGGCAGCACCCGGGTCACCCTCTATGTTCACTGTTTGGGTATATGGGAAGCGCCTGGGGGGCGTTGCATGGTGATTCTACATTAAGTTAATATTATTAAGCCCTACAAGGGACCGAAGATCACTTTACACATTCATTTCTTGTGGCACTGGGTGTGGAACCCAGGGCTTCTGGGCAATGTCTACCACTGAGTCACATCCCCAGATTTTTATTTTTTAATATAGCAAAGACTATTAAAGGAGAAAGGAAAAGATGCGCTCCAGGGAGAGGGTGGGTCCTCTCAGGGAGGACAGTGACCCACCCCAGCCCTTTTAAATTTTATTTTGAGACTGGGTCTTTCACTCATCCACCTGCCTCAGCCTCCCAAGTAGGGGGGTGACGGGGACACACCACCGAACTCACTATCTAACAATATTTTTTCCCTTTCTATCTTTTAAAAATGATTTTTTGGGGGTCCCAGGGATTGCACTACACCCTGAGCCACATCCCCAGCCCTATTTTGTGTTTTATCTAGAGACAGGGTCTCAGTTGCTTAGCACCTTGCATTGCTGAGCCTGGCTTTGTACTTGTGATCCTCCTGTCTCAGCCTTTGGAGCCGCTGCAATTATAGGTTTGTGCCCTCACACCTACCCAAGATGATTTTTTTTTTTTTTTTTGGTGGTGCTTGTGCATGTGAGGCAAGCACTCTACCAACTGAGCTGTATCCCCAGCCCAAGACGATTTTTAATTGAAAGATGTTATTGAGATAATTGTATATTCACACACATTTGAAAGAAAGACCGCAGAGGGTGTGAGAGTGATCTGGCTGTGGCATCTGATGCCCCCTCTGTGGTGAGGGCTCATCTGGGGGCTAGGCAGGTGACTCCTTCCTCCTCCACCCCCGACGCCCCACTTGCGGAGACAAGCTGTGCGCTGTGTGGCAGCGGAGGACCTGCCTCGACAGAGGGGGGCTGCTCGGGGTCAAGGGTGCAGAAGTGGTGGGTGCTCTGCTGAAGCCTCTCAAGGAGCTCTCCAGAAACCAGAGAGAGATCCGTGGCCCTGCGCTGGGCTCCCCCAACGGGATCGTTTTTGCCAAACCGCAGCCCGGATGTGGACACTGATAAGGTCCAGCAGTCCTATTCCGGGTCCTCTGTGTTACTTCTTGTACTGCTGTGGGGGGTCCCTACAGTTTTACAGCGGGACAGGTTTGTGCCCTCGCTCCCATGTCCCAAGGTGGAACTGCCCACTGCCCCCTCCCCACACAGTAAGCCCCGGCAACGCTAATCTGTCCTCTCTCTGACATCAGGTCATTTGAAAAATATTATATGAACAGAATCCTACTAAGTGTGACCCCGCTCGCCAGGTGGCCCCACCACCAGCGCGCGCGGCCCGGTCCTCGCCAGCGCAGGGAGCCGGCCTGCCCCACCCCGCGCTGTGACGTCACGCGGTGGCCGGGAGCCCAGGGAGACGCCCTGCCGCGGTCCGGCCTTCTTGTCCGTGATTGGAGGAGGCACTCTGTCACGTGCTCCGGCGGCCCAAGGAGGCGGGGGGCCAGAGGCTGGGTCACGTGGCCCTCGAGGCGGGAAAGGGCACGCCGGTTGGCCCGCGGGCGCGCTCCCGGGCGGCGTTCTGACTCGGAAGCGGGGTCGCCGCGAGGCCGGGAGTGGGCGTGTTCTTGTCGTTGGCTTGCGTCTGAGAAACCAGCCCGGCGGCCTCAGGCGTGCGAACGTGGGAGTGTCGCTGCTCGACGCCACGACAGGTGGCAGTGAACACGTTAGACAGGTCCCTTCAAGACACCGCTAAACCCGCCGGCCAGTCCCCACCCCGCCCCAGGAACACGCGTGGTGGGCAGAAAGGGAGCTGGGCCTTTGTGGGGCACGGGGTGTGGCTGGCCATTGCCCTGGGACAGGTCACTCCCAAGCTCAGGGACCCCAGACAAATAAACGTGTTTTTCACCGTGCACATGGGGAGTTCAGAAGTGTGGCCGCAGTCGAGGGCAGCTGGGGCTGTCACTGGCAGGCTGGGCTGCGGTCACGGTGGCTCCCTCACCTGGCCGGCAGCCTTGACCTCAGCACTGCTTGAGCTTCCTCCCGACATGGAGACTGGCTGTCCCCAGGGTGAGCAGTCAGAGCAAGCAGAGAGCCCATCACACTCAGCAACCCAGACTGGAGGCCACAGGCTGTCTCACTTCTGATGTCCTATTGGCCCCACAGCTCAGCCCATTGTGGGGAGGGCGCTGCCCCAGGCCGTGAATTCGGAAGGCAGGGCGGCTGGGGCCAGCTTGGAGGCCGCCCCCCACAGCATCTGCACACAGGAGCACAGCCCTGAGCCCCCGCCTCTGGTGCAGGCCAGCACAGGAGGTCAGGTCCCAGGCCCACCAGCGAGCTCCACCTGGGACCTCACTGGACCACAGTCAGCTACTTCCCCTTGGGTTTGCTGAGCTGGGACAAGGTCAGCACCGCCTGGAGCGTTCGCTAAAGCTGAAGCCAAGACAGAGCCTGGCGGAGTAGAGGTGGAAAGAGGAGGGAGGCCGCGCCGCGAGCCTCACCTGAGCTGAACCGGGCTCTTCTGGGGCCTCTGGGTCCCAGGCCAGCCCTGCCCATAAGGATTAGGAGGGGCGTTCTGTCCTGTGAAACCAGATGATTATGGAACCAGTGACAGACGAAGGGACAGAGTGCTCTGTCCATACTCCAGAGTGTCTTCAGCCAGGACAGGAGCCAGGTGACAGCTGCAGTGTGGATGGACCTGAGGACCTCGTGCTCAGTGAGAGCCAGACACACAAGGTCGCAGCCTGTGACCCAGTGACAGGAGAGTCCAGAGACGGATGTGGCCCCGGGGTGCAGGGCTGGAGGCGGGCTCTGTGGGCTCTCAGGCCCTGGGAAGTGAGCAAAGCGAGGAGCAGGAGCTGCTCCACGGGTTGCTGTGTCGCGCTGTAAAAGTGGCAAAGGTCAGTTCAGTCACTACTGTGCTTCCCACAGGTCCTCTCTCCACACGCGCCCTTCCTCCGGCTCCCCAGGGGCTCCTCAGACCCTCCCAAGGTGCAGCACCTGGTCCTCACCCAGCTCTGGCCCACCCCGGGCTTCCCACACCTCTGCTGCTTCCTGCACTCCTGACGCTGGCCACAGTCACTGCCCCCAGTGCCGTCCTTAAACGCCTGCCTCTCTCCATCCCCCACTCCATTAAAAGCAGGAGCTGATCTACACACATGGGTGCACAGTGCACCCGGGCAGAAGCCAGGGCAGAAGCCAGGCTGCGGTGCATGTTTGGACTATTTTTTGCAAGAACCTAAGTGTATGAAACAGATGGAAAAAACCAGGTGACTCCGTGACCTCCCCAGAAGTGGAGGGGCCTGGGATCAGTGCGTGGTGGCTCCGGGACTGAGTAGGAAGAGGCCTCGGGAGTGTGACGGGGAGGGTCTGTGCTCTGGCCTGTCTTTGGCCTTGGGGGGAGCCGTGTTGGCACCTGACCTGCAGCTGGTGTCCAGGACACAATCCTGGCAGGGAGGGCGGGCACCCAGGCTGTGCCCCACCCTGGCCCGCTGACCTCTCTTCCCGGATGCAGCGCCTGGCCCAGGTCGTTGGCAGGGACCTCTCTCCTGCGGTGCGTGCGGTGCCCTGTGGCACAGGCTGCTGCTCCCGGGCATCGCTTTCCTTTCTCTTAATTGCTTTTTTTTTTGATTACAGAGAAAATGTGCTTCAGGAACTAGACGTTATGTCTGTAAATACTTCCAGCATCAATGGCCGGGCGGCGCTCTGGGTCCAGGGTGCTGAGCAGCTTCCACCCACCCAGGGCAGAGCTCCCCAGTCATGAGGATCCAGTGTCCCAGATGTCCCCCAGGATCCCCTGGGGGCAGTCAGCCCTCCCCATGGAGAACAACTACCCTGACAGAGAAGGGCATCTTAAAAACAGACTATGACGTCACACTGCTCACACATTAACAGTTCCCAACATCAACAAATGTCCTTGGGTGCACATTTCCATCGTGGCTCTCATATGTACATACATATTGGGGTTTGGGGTCACCTTTTAAGGGTGACACCTGCATAATAAGTCAGTTACTCTTTCCCATGATGAGTGCCGGCGCCAACCTCAGGAGCCGAGCTTCACCCGGAACCCTGCTGCTGGCAGCTCACAGCCCTCCTAAACAGATGGGGAAGCTGAGGGACAGGGCTGGTGCCTGGGTCTCCCGGCCAGCATGAAATCCACTTCCGAACACCTGAGCCGCCACGCCAGAATGGCCCATGAGCCACAAGCTGAGAATCGTGCCTTAAAGCACCCACGGGGACCAAGGCCACGTGACCAGAGCAGATCTGCTACCCGGAGCCCCCAGGACCCCACTTTGGCACCCCACGAGGCACAGCCTCCTGCCCCTGGATATGGGTCACATGTCCTTGCTTTGGCTCTCCCCTTGGAGGCCAGCCTCTCTCGGGCCTCAGTGTCTCTGACGGTCACAGGTGGCCCTTCTTCCACAGGCCAGGCTGAGTTCTGTGTCCCCACCCTGGGTGGAGAATGACAGATATCCAGAGACGAGGTGGCCTGGGCTCCCACCTGGGGACACAGAGGGCTCACGCTATCACACCCTGGTGTCTGCAGGCTCCTCCCACATTTGGGGTGAGGGAGCCTCTGGTGTGGTGTCCTGTGGAGGCACCCTGCACCCCTTGTGGCCTCCGGTGACAAACGCTCTGCATCTCATGTCTCCCTGTCTCTCCAGCGCCAACACCAATGTCCCCACTGCTTGTTCATTAAGCAAATGTCCCCGAGTGCAGGTTTTGGGGAAGGCAAGACGCCACTTTGGGTGCTAATCTCTGCATTGGTGAAAAGTCTCATTGTCTGTGCCACAAAGGGCGCCCCCTCGAGAGGCCCCTCAGGCCCCCGAGCGAGGCGGACGGCATGCGGCAGAGTCGAGTGCTTTTTTTTTTTTTCCAATATATTTTCAGACGTTGATGGACTTTATCTTATTCATTTATTTTATGCGGTGCTGAGGGTCCAACCCGGTGCCTCCCCAAGTGCTCTACCACTGAGCCCCAGCCCCAGTCGATGCCCACGGGAGTCTGGTTGAACAGTCAGGCCACAGGGCAAGAAGCCCACCCTGCCACCCTCCTGTGTGCCCCCGCTCTCCCAGCGACATCCCTCTGGGGGAGCAGCAGGAACAGGAATGGAGCCTGGGTCCCCAGCCCCATCACGCGGAGGTCCACTCTGATCCTTGGTCGCTATAAGCTCTGCAGCAGGTGGAGCGTGTGGCGCAGGTGCTGCAGGGCAGCGGGGGCACACTCGCGGCGCTGCAGGGTGCCCAGAGAGTAGGAGGCACCTGGCTGACCCCGCACCCAGTAGGTGAGCAGCAGCCCCTGGCCCTCGCCACTCAGCACAAGCTGGGTCTGCAGCCCACTGAAGCTGACCTGTGGGGCAAGGAGCAGGGGTCAAGATGGGGGCCTCCTCCTGCCCCTGCCTGTCCCTGCCTTCTGGGAGGAGCCCCAGCCTGGTGAATGCCGAAGTCAGAAGCCACGGATTCTACAGTAGAGATGGGGACACTGAGATTAGCTGGGGACTCAGCTGCCAAGGGCCCCTCCTGGCCCCGCAGCCCTCGTGGAGTGCGGTCTCCTGGCCCCAGCCAGGCACATCTTTTCTGGCTGTAGAAGCCAGCACAGGTGCAGAGGGGCCGGCCACTGGGCTCTGCAGCCCCGAGGGACGCAGAGGGCACTTTCTCCCCTGAGACTGAACAGTAACAGGAGCAGCACCGTCAGAGCTGCCCGGAGCTTCACCCGAGGGTCCTCAGGAAAACCACCCATGAGCTTCCCATGACATGCACTCTAGCCAAGGAAGATCCCCAAGCGTGACATTCTGCTGTCCCTAAACGTCATCACTGTGCGTTGTGGGGCTGAGGATGACCCCTGGGTGGCCCCCCAGCCCCTTCACACTCAGGAGCCAGCGCTTTTGGGGTCTCCTGGGACCCCAAGCTGTGCCGAGAGGCCCTGGCCCACCTGGCCCCTGGCTCACCTGCAGGGTCCCGTTGCTGAACAGCAGCAGCAGCGCCTGCGAGGTCCCCAGGAAGCGCAGCAGGCAGAGGCCCAGCGCGGCGGGCGGCTGGGGGGCAGGCGAGGCCCCCTCCTGCAGACAGGGCGTCAGGGCGGGGGCCCCTCTCCCTGCCCCCCAGCTCACCTCCCGCAGGCGCCTCTGCATGTAGCCGGTGAGGAGCCGCAGGACGGCCAGCTTGGCGCCCAGCACCCGGGGGACGTCCCTCAGGGCGAAGGTCTCCAGCCTCCCGCGCGCGGGCAGGTAGCAGATGTGGCTGTGGGCAGGGGGAGGGGGCCTCGGTCCTGGGCACTGTGCCTGTGGGCGCCGTGCCACCTGTCCCAGCCTCCTGAGTGGTGACTCTGAAGAAGGCTCTACCCGCCACTCTGTCCCCCTAGCCCTGGCCTCTCCAGTGTCCTCATAACCCCAGATGCTCCCACTGACCGCCCCTTAGCCCGCGGCGCTCCGCCCTCCACGGCCACAGCCACGGCCTGCCTGGCTCATCCCCCGCCTGCCTGGCTGGTCCCCCGCCTGCCTGCTGGTCACTTGGGCCAGAAAGACCTGCTGAAGGGTGAGCTGGGGGCTGGGGGGAGTGGGGGCACCCAGAGCCTGGGGAGGCCTTCTGTCCCATCCCCCTCTCCGGGCCTGACAGTGGCCTGGGAGACCTGTCCCTCCCCCGAGTCCAGCCTCCTGCTGTGGTGTGCCCCAGCTGGGGGTCTGGCACACCGGCCCCCCATGACTCCCCTGAACCTCTGGGCCAGAGGCTTCTTCCCGCCCCCTCGACCCCCCTGCTGAGCTGCCCACGTGGGCAGCTTCCTGCAGAAGGCAGCCCGCTCACTTGTTGAGCACTGACCCCGGCAGTGAGCCCTGCCAGGAGTGAAGACCAGTCCACTCAGGGAGGCAGGAGGGTGGTCTCCAGGGAAAGGAGCCCCAGAACTTACCTTCCTGGGGGGCGCAGGGCCATGTGGGTGCCATCCCGAAACAGGACTCCACTGCCCCCATCCGACAGCTGGTAGCCAAAGCCATACTTGCTGGAATAATCCACCCACTTGGGAGCCCAGAGGGGGGGCTGCTGCTCCCCTGGGGGGTCCTGTGGGGCTGAGCACAAAGATGAGGTGTGCTGACCGGGGTCAGGGTGGGGCCTGAGCGGAGTCCAGCTGCTTCACACAGGGCTGGGCAGAGGGTTGGGGGCTCGAACAGAGGGCCAGTCGGCAGAGGAGATGTTGAAGAGTGGCTGGGCATCGTAGTACAGGGGAGGCCGAGGGAGGAGGGTGGCAAGTTTGAGGCCAGCCTCAGCAACTTAGCAAGACTCTGTCTCCACATACAAGACTAAGAGGGCCGGGGTGGCTCAGTGGCAGAGCACCTGGGTTCAGCCCCCAGCGCCAAAGTGAATCAGTGAAAAAACACTGAAAAAAGTTCAAGGACGGGTCTCCTGATTCCTGCCGCTCACAGGGAGAATCTGGGGCCAGGATGTGCTTCAGGAAGTGAGGGATTCTCCACCACTGCCACTGACAAAGCTCCAGAAAGTGTGGTTTTGTTTTGTTCAAAGAATTTGCGTTTGAAAATGGAGGTCTCCCACCGTGGGGTGCGGAGGGTCCCTTTAGCCTCTGGTCTCCTCCGTATTTGAATGTTCTCGATACAGAGAGAGGGTCAGTGACGGAGGAGGGATGGGTGTGCTGGTCCCTCTGATCTGCCCCTCCTTTGCTGTGTGGCAATGCCACCCTGGGGCTGGGAAAGTGACGAGGCCGCAGGTGCCTGCCCAGCATGCAGAGGCCCCCCGTCCATCTGCACACCGGGTCACCATGTGCCAGTCAAAAATAAAAACAGACAAGTGAATACATTTTTCTGTCGACTGAAAAAATACTGCCCAATGCCACGCGGGATCCTGGATCAGACCCTGGGACACAGCTCAGCCACAGAGAGCTCGGCCCTGGGTTCAGTCCCCAGCTCCACAAGAAGAGGAGGAAGAGAAAGGAGAGGCAGTGGGGACAGTGGCATCTGACAGAGGGAGCCGGCTGCTCGCGCCGAGGCAGGGGGTCGCAGGAGCCCAGCCCGGGGACCAGCGAGGCCCGTTGAGTACGTGGCTGACAGCTAAATGGACACAGCAGGCACTCGGTTCCCGTCTGGCCCTGTGTGGGCATCTCAGCCGCCCACGTCCCGGCAGCGAGCCGACCTGGGAGGGGTCGGGAGGTTCCTGCTTATCTTTTCTACTTTCTGTAAGTCTCCAACCACTTTCTACCATTTATTAAAAATTTTAAGAATCTAAAAGTTGGCTCCGGTGGCTTAGAGGCTCTAAAGTGAGGGGTCCTCCTCGTACTCAGCCTGGGGAAGGGAAGAGGCCTGTGCCACCTGGGGCTGGGGCCTCCCCAGGCAGGTGGGAGGCTGTGGCGGGTGACGGGTGAGGGGAGGCAGGGTTTGGGGCTTGGGGACACTGGAGGACAGGGTCCCACCTCCCGGGGTGGGGTGGATGGACCAGGCGTGGTGCTGGCAGAGGTTGGAAGTCAGTTCCCTCCTCTGTCCCGGCCTCCTCCGTGGCTCTCAGGCTGGGTAAGAAGCTGAGGGGGCGACCCTGAAGGAGAGAGCTCCCCAGCCCTCCCCAGCAGGGCTGAGCCCGAGGCCAAGGGGCTTGCTGGGAGTCACTGCACCCTGAGGCCTCCCGGTCCCCAGCTCAGCCCCAGGGAGCCCCTGAAATGGGGAGGCCCTGGAGGGGGACCCTGGACACTCAGGTCATGCTGGGCAGACAGGGCGGGGCGGCTCCTACCCACAGGGCCAGCGTCCAGGCAGAGCTGTAGGTTCCTGATGGCGGCTGCCACCTCCGTCTCTGGGCTCTCCTGTGGCCCTGGGGAGTCAGAGCAGGTGGGGCCAGCCAGGCTGGGCCCTCCAGACTCTCACATCCAGGAAAGTCTCATCTTTAACCCAGAAGGACAGTTCCCCATGTTTCAGGTGTGGACCAGGAGAGGGCGGTGGCCAGGCTGGGGACGCGCCTCCTGCAGGTGCTCACTGTCAGGGCCAAGGGCCTGCTCACCTGCCGGGTCGCTCCAGAGGGTCCCTTGTGTGAACAAGTGGACGAGGGCCTGGGGACAGTGAGCCCCTCTCTCAGACAGGGAGGTCTTTGGAGGAAGTGGGAGAGGTGAGGGACCCCGGCCCCCAGCCCCGACCCCCAGAGCTCCCTCCGCCGCCTTGCTCCGCACCACGGGAATGGCTTCCTCGGGAGCAGCTCACAGGGCACACAGTAGGCACTCAGAAGCACGGTGGGGTGAACCAGGTGTGGGGTGGGTCCCAGGGGGAACCGGGCGGAGGGGAGCTGGGTACAGAGGGGCCCCGTGAGTCAGACCAGATGAAGGGCCTGGGGGTCCCCAGAGGCCCGGGAAGCCTGCGAGGGGCAGGGCTTCGGGGGTGCGGTGCCCTCCTGCGCCCTCCTCACCTCGCTGCCCCAGTCCAGGGAGTCAGGTTCTGGCCCTTCTTCTCCTGGGCCCGAGGCCTCTTTGGAGGTGCAGGGGCCTGAGGGAGCACAAGGCTTTGGCAGAGCCGCGCGGGCAGAGGGGGAGGCAGGGGCAGCACTGGGCAGAAGGGAAGGCCGCGGGCAGGCGAGAGCCGGTGCTGGGGACATGGGCAGGGGTGGGCAGCCAGGCACTCACAGGGAGGTCCACACTGGGTCGACAGTAGCTGGCCCACTTTCCGGAAGAGGCTGCCCACAGGTTGTGGGAAGGTGAAGGCCGGGGGGCTGTGGCGGGAGTGGGGCGGCATTCGATCCGGAGTGAAGCCCTTCAGAGCAGGGCGGAGGTCAGCGCACTCACATGACAACAGGTGCTGTCCCCTTGTGCCTGCACCTCCACGGCTCTCCTTCTCCACCTGACCACAGGCTGCCCGCCTCCCAGCACCCGGCTCACCTGGGGCCAGGCCTCCCTGCACAGGGCCTGAGCACCCTCAGCTCCCACCTGTTCTCGCCCTGGGTCCCACCTATACCCCACTGTGCCCCACCTGTCCCTCACCTGTGCCCTACCTGTGGCCCACCTGAGCCCTACCTGTGCCCTACCTGTGTCCCACCTGTGCCTCACCTGTGCCCTACCTGTGGACCACATGTGCTTCACCTGTGCCTCACCTGTGCCCTACCTGTGTCCCACCTGTGCCTCACCTGTGCCCTACCTGTGGACCACATGTGCTTCACCTGTGCCTCACCTGTGCCCCACCTGTGCCTCACTTGTGCCCTACCTGTGGCCCACCTGTGCCCTACCTGTGGACCACATGTGCTTCACCTCTGCCTCACCTGTGGCCCACCTGTGCCTCACCTGTGCCCTACCTGTGGCCCACCTGGCCTCACCTATGCCTCACCTGTGCCCCACCTGTACTTCACCTGTGGCCCACCTGTGCCTTACCTGTGCCCCATCTCTGCCTCACCTGTGTGAAGAAGTCGTCCTGCAGCAGGTGGTCCAAGTTGGGCCTCTCAGCTGGATCAGGTGCCAGGAGGCGGGCAATGAGGCGGCGGGCATTGGGCGACAGGTGGGCAGGCTCTGGATAGTGGCCATCACGGATGTTCTGGTACATCTCTGACAGGGATGCTGCCGCAAAAGGTGGGGTGCCAGTCAGCACTGTGTACCTGGGCCAGGTGGGGGCAGGAGCAAAGGCACCCGTGTCCTCAGTTTGCTCACAGCTACCTGTGCACACCCAGCCATTCCTACCCACCTCACGCCCCGCTCTGACACTCGGTGTGCACTCTCCCAGACCTGAGCTGATCCACGTGCCCTGGCCTCTCCTGTGCACGCTGCTCAGGGACTTTGTGCTCTACCTGCCAGCACCTGTCCAATCCCAGCGTGTGCACAAGCATCTGCACCCTGATCTTCTGTGCCACCCACCTGCACACACCTGTTCAACATCTGTGCACACTCATTCCTCCCTCAGAGGTACCTGTGCACATGTGCCCCACTTACTCCTGCACACTCACATGATGACAGGTGCTGTCCCCTTGTGCCTGCACCTCCACAACTCTCCTCTCTCCACTTAACCTTCCCCGGTACCTGCCTTCACCTGTCCTTGCCCATGTGCATGCTCCCACCTGCCCATTGCCTGGTCCTGCTGGGGCAGTCCTGCCCCCTGCCCCACTCACATGATGCAGCCCAGGGCCCAGATGTCCGATGGGCAGGAGTGCCCCTTTCTGGACACCACCTCTGGGGCCAGGAGGTTTGGAGTCCCGCAGAGCACCCTGGGAAGGAATGACAGGGGTGGGAGGCTGGGGCCCCTTGCCAGGTTTGGGGCCTCCCTCACCTACCCACAGGGTCTCAGGGCCTCCCACTCTCACCTGTGGCAGCGGCCCCCTGGCCCCAACCTGGTGGCCAGTCCCAAGTCTCCGATTTTCACCTCCATCTTCTTGTTAAGGAATAAATTACCTGCCGGTGGGGAGGTTGCAGGGGCGTGAGGGGGGGCACCCTGCCACTCCCGCCCCTGCAGCCCGGGACTCACTGAGCTTCAGGTCTCTGTGCACGATGCGCTGCTGATGGAGGTAGCGCAGGCCACCGATCACGCCCCGCAGGTAGTAGCGCACCTCGGGCTCCGTCAGGGTCTGCCGCGCCTTCAGCACGTGGGCCAAGGACTGCAGGTGGCCAGCAAGCAGCACACAGCACCCGGCGGGTACAGGTTAAGTGGCCATTGAGATCAAGGGGCCCAAGAAGGCAAAGGGAAATCCAACTTGGCCCAGACAGGCATAGCGGACGGTGGGACGGGCCCAGGTGAGCATACGGGGCCCTTGGGAGGGCTTGGCGAGAAGTGGGAACAGGCAAGTTCACAGGGGCCCAGATGGCCCAGAGGAGCTTGAGAAGGGCTCCGTGACCGGAGGTGAACAAAGTGGCACCCAGGTGCACCCAGGTGAGTGCAGGTGTGCTCAAGTGGGCAGAGAGAGCTTCTGTGTGTCGGTGAAGTTTGAACTAAGTTCAACTGGGCCAAGGTGGGCAGAGCTAGGTGCAGGAAGAGTTCAGGTGAGCACAGGTGCATGCAGGTGAGCACAGGTGGGCATGAGTGGGTTTAAGTGGGCCAAGTAGAAACAATTAGGTTCAGGTGGGCACTGTGGCCACACATGAGCACGAGATGAGCCTGATGACCACAGCATGCACTGAACACAGGTGGGCACAGGTGGGCACAGGGGGTTCTTGGTGGGCACAGGTGAGTGAAGGATGGACACAGATGGCCATACGTGGGCACAGGAAGCAGGTTGACTGGACAGAGAACAGCAAATGACATTGGCACGGATGGGAACAGATGGACAAGGGGCGGGCAGCTGGCTCCCCCTCCCCCAGCACCTGTCGGCTGCAGTACTCCAGCACCATGTACACATGGTCACGGTCAGTGAAGTGTCCGTGGAAGGCCACTATGTTGTGGTGCCGCAGGCGGCTGTGCAGGGCGATCTCGCGCTCCACCTGTGGGCCGTCCCCACATGCCCCGGTCTGAGGTGTGCCGGGGGATTCAGGCCACCAGCATCACCCTGCCCCCTGGGGAGGAAGGGCAGCCTCCCCAGCCGCACTGCTGGCGGGACCCTGGAGGGCCGATGAGGTGCTCACCTTCCCTCTGGAGGGAAGCCTCCCCGCCCGCGGCACCACCTTAAGGGCAAACACAGCGCTGGTGGACATGTCTGTCAGCTTGTAGCAGCGGCTGAAGGCGCCCTGAGTGAGAGAGGGGTTAGCCTCTGGACTGGACAGGTGCACAGGGCATGTGGACACGCTGGCCACACCTGTGCAGATGCAGTACCCATGGAGGCACCGGGCTGCTGGGGTCAGGTGTGGCCAGCGCTCTTCACACACACACATACACACACACACACACACACACACACTGGAAACAAATTGCACACAGCTCACACCCTCAAAGCTGGACCCATGACACGTGGACAGGCACACAGGTGCAGGCACACGCAGTGCTGGGTGCATGTGACCCACAGACCACAGTGCAGCACCTGGTCCCCACACCCAGCACCCAGCACATGCACACACCTAGAAACAGTGACCAGAGACCCAGCACCCAGACACAGACACAGCACAACACAGGACCAACACATACCAGCCCTCAACACAGCCCACAGACCACAAACGTACCTGGACACACAACACACAGGGGCACAAAACACCCAGATACACAGACACATCCAGACCTAGACGCCTACAACCCATAGAACACAACACAGTAGCTGGACACACAACATCCCTACACAACACCTAATGCACCACACTGGACACAACACAGGAGCACACAACTCAACACCCCGACTCACAATACAACCCAGCACACACAGACACACAACATAATGCATGGACCCAAACGACCTGGGCGCACAAACGCACAGCGGGAGAAGAACCGCGCAGACCCAGGAGCACCGAGAAGTGCAGCACAGTCACAGACGTACAAAAGGCACCAGACGCACACCCCAGACGCGCGCTGAGTACGGGTTCCCTCCACAGGATCCGCACTCCAAGCCCCAGATGTGCACCAAGCCCCAGATGCCCAACCCACGCAAGCTCCGCTCAGGACCCCAAACTCTCACGGATGCGCGCCACACGCCGAGACAAAAGCTGGGCTCAGGAGCCACAAGCCGCGCCACACATCGCGTGCTCTCTCCCCGCCCTGCCTCGCCCCCGCCAGGATCCCGAGCCCGGACCCTCGTGGCGGACTCCGGGAGCCCGGCCCCAACCTTGCCGATCAGCTTCCCGCGCCGGTAGACGCGCCCGGAGCTGGGGTCGCGCAAGAAGGCTGCCACCGGCTGGTGGCTCCGGCGCCGCCGCCTCGGTCCGGGCTCCATGCTCTGGCGCTGCGCAGCCAGCTTGCACCCTGCCCGCGCGCAGCCGGGGCTCCTTTTATCGGCGGATGGGGGCCGGGGCGGGGCCAGGCGCTCCCAGCCGCGCCACCCGCGGGCGGCAGATGCCGGGCCGCAGGGGCTGGGGAAGTTCCTGCCACCAGGCAGCGCCCGCGCCCTGTGCGCGAGTGGGAGCCGAGCGCTGCCTGGACCCCTTTGTTCTTCCAGCGTCCTGGGAACTGTCACAATGCACCTCCAGGCGTCCTGGAAACTGTCACAATGTCCATTCCCCGCCGCAGAAAGCTGAGGCTCAAGGCCTCCCAGGGAAGGCGGCTGCCACGTGCGGGCTGCGGTGGAGGGTGGAGAGCTTAGCAATGAGTCTGATTGTGGTCCTGGGGCCCACATGACACGGGCTTGATGGCTTGGGGCACTGGGGCACAACAGGATTAAGAGCGGGAGAGAAGCCCAGTGTCTCCAAGGCTGGAGCTGGTGGGCAGGGGGAGTGAGACCCAGTAGGGGGACAAAGGAGGCAGGACTGGGGTTCTGAGAACAGGGAGGACACACTAGGGGCTGTGTCACATAGGAGGGAGATTCAGCACTGAGGAGGATGTGAGCAGACCCTGTGTCCTGGGCAGCCTAGCCGGGTGTCTCTGGGATGGCGAGGGGAAGGTGAGTCCGTGGCAGACCAGGCCCCAGCCTTGGCCGCTGGCCTTTGCTGGGCACCACCACTTCCCCTCACAGCCTCTGCCAGGGACCCCTGTGCCTTTCCAGGTGAACACCCAGAGCCCCAGGGTGCTCAGGCCACTTGGCGGGCCACGAGGGAGCAGTGGCCATGGACCCAGGCAGCTGCCTTGGACTCCTTGGTATTAATCCCCAAATGTTATGTAACACACAGTGGGGAGGGGTTAGCAGGGCTCCCTGTGGCTGGAACCAGGCCTTGGAATTTTCCAGAGACCAGATTTCAGAAGCAGCCTGGCCACTCCAGGGGGATGAGAGAAGCACTCTGCATGGCCGCCCACTCACCTGGTGTGTCCAATGAGGTCCAGGGAGTGAGGGACCCAAGGACCCAATATGTTTGATGGAGCAAGGTGCAGCTACCTTTGCAGGGTCCCAGTCTCAGTGCCAGGGCGGAGGACTGGCCCACTGAGGACCAGCTGGCTGTGCCCGGGAGCCCAGGTTCCCTGCCAGGGAGAAGCAGTGTAGCTCAGGGGCACGTGGGTCTGAGCCATCACGTCACTGGTACCCTGAGGCACTTCCTTCTCTCCGCACCCCTCCACTGAGATAACCCAGTATGTGCTCAGCACCTACCATGTGCGGACCTTGCTGCCCAAGACAGACCCAGATGGGCCCTTGTGCAGCTTAGACTGGAGAAGGAACTGCCAGGAGATGGTCTGAGATTTAACCAAGTGCCACAGAGGGATGGGAAGGCTTTTGGGGATCACAGGCAGCCAGGTCCTGTCTGGGAAATGGCTGGTCCCTAAGTTAGGTGCTGTTCTTAGCCCCAAGGGACACAGACCAGAAACCCCAGCTCAGAGAGGTTTGTGCAAGCCCAGATCACCCACTGCAAGGGGCCAGACCTTGCCCAGAGTCCAGGCAGCAGTGGATCCACAGCCCCTGCCCCACAGCACTGCCCTCAGGCCTCCTGCCCCAGCAGCCCGGGGAGCAGTGCCAGGCAGAGCCCTTGCTCCGGGCCCAGTTGGTGGGATGCAGAAGTTTCCTGGGGGAAGAAATGAGAGTTCCTGGCCCAGAGCCCCGCAGCCTGCCCGTCAGCTGATGCTCGGCCCAGGCCAGTCCCCCCCCGCCTCCGGCTGCCTCTGGGGTTCTCCGCCTCAGAACTGGGGACCTTTCCTGGTCCCAGCCTGGCCCCTCTGAGCAGGGACCCCCTCCCCACCTCCTTGTCAGCTGCCCTAGTCCTGGTGGACTCCCTGCCCACTCTTGCCTGGTGGGGGCTCTGGGGGCCCCTGGGAGGAATCCCCAGCACAGCCTTGGCCTGCCCAGGGCCTCTCGCAGACATTGGGGCCCAGGGGGACAGGCAGTGGGTCCTAGAGTTAGAGGTGAGGGCTGTGGGCTTCGTGCCCTGGATGCGCTCAGCGCCATGGGAGAGTGCGCCTCACGGGAGCAAGTTCCTCCCGACGCGAACCTTCCTACTCCACCGCAGAGCAAAGGGAGCAGGGTGGTGTCAGGACAGGCCCCGGGGTGGCCCTGGCAGTGGGGGACATGCCCCTGCACGGCTGGAGAGGACGGGCCGCAGGGTCAGGACCAGAGGGAAACTGGCTCGTTCAGACTCCTCTCTTGAAACCCAGCCAGGAGAGTGAAGTGCGCTGAGCCGCACGATGAAGAGTGGAGCCCCACCCACCAGGGTGCGGGCAGCCCAGTGTCCATCGGGGAGAATGGACAGCCCAGGTGGCCTGTGCCTATAACCAAGCACTCATCCACCCACAGGAGCCAGGCCCTGACACACACTATCCTGTGGATGGCCCTGAAGACACACTGCTCAGTGACCTGTGCCCGACTCAGAGTGCAGGGTCCACCCACAGGAGGCCCTTGGACTCAGATCCACAGAGACAGGAAGCAGCACAGTAGGAGCAGGGCTGGGAGGGGACAGGAGCCCGTGTTCAGACGGAGCTTTAGGGTGGGAAGATGGAAAGTTCTAGAGATGGTGTTGGGGACGGCTGCTCGGCCCTGGGATCGGGCTTCATGCCTCCGAAACTTGCACTAAAGAAGGTGAGGACGGTACGTTTTGTGTTATGTATTTTTTGCCACAATAAAAAAGTGAAAAACAGAGATTTTGTGTCCCTCAGAGCCCAGCCTGGGGGGCTTCCTGCACCCTCACTGTACAGAGGCGCCATCAGGCCCAGTGTGTGGGCCGCTGTTAGGGGCCAAGTGGCCTCGGGCTGCCCGAGCCTGCATCCCCACCCCGGGGTCCCACTGCCAAGGGGGTGGGTGCGGAGCCCTGCCTGGCACCCACCCTGCGCACCCATCCGGGATGCACGCCCAGGTCCCCCCCAGTCTCCGCTCCCGCTGCCCTGAGATGACTCTTCAGACTCAGCAGATTTCTCAGGAGAAGCTCCCGGAAGCTTTTCTCAAAATACCTGCGGCAGGTGGAGGGGCCCTGAGCAGGCAGGGAGCTGGACTCCCAGAGGCCTCTGGCTCCGCTCACGGGGCTGGCACGGGGTCGGGTCCACCACGGCCCAGCCTCCCAGCCCCCTCCTGCTGGAAGCTGCCAGGGTGGGAGCATCTGGGGACGTAGCGCCCAGGAACGTGACTCAGCCCAGATCCCGGTCCCCTTTTGTGTCCTGGAGTCCCACATGCCTGGACTCGTGAGCCCTCAGCCCCGCCAGGAAGGTCCCTGGGGACCAGCAGCCCCAGCGGCAGAGGAGGCAGGAGGGGCCCCACCTGCGCCAGGCTCCGGAACCCAGCCCAGCCCGTGTTGCAGGGACGAGGCCCGCGTGGGCCTGGAGAGGCGCCTGGACTTGCTGCGGCTTCTGGAGCACCCCAGGACCCCCCTTTCTGCTCTTCCCCACCCTTGCTCTAGATCTTCCAGTCCTCCGGGAGCCTCCCTTCCTCTCCTGGGCCCGGCCGCCCTCCTCCCTTCACCCCCCCACACTGTCCAGGGGTGGCCTCAGCAACAGTGGTGCCCAAGCATCTTCATTTTGACTGGAGGAAGCCTGAAGCCAGCTGTGGTGACCCTCCCCGTCTCAGTCTCCCACGGCAGAGCCTGAAGCAAGGGTGCAGAGAATCAGCCGGAGAGCAGAGGAGGACCTGGTCACCACTGTTGGTCCCCGAGGCCCAAACACACCGGGGACCCTGGAGAACTGACCGCTGGAGACAGAGGCAGACAGGTCCACCGGCTGCTGCCCGCACTGGGCTGGGCTTCCCCAAACGATGTGAACTGTCCTGTGCACCGCTCCATTGCTGAGAAGCTCGTGCAGGAGGGCTCTGCTGCAGTGCCTGCTTGGGGGGACAGAGTGGCCCTCGTGTCCTCCCACCCACCTCCCTGTTGGTCCTCCCACCCACACCAACCTCATTCTCTTGCAGGGCCTTTGCACATGCTCCTCCACCCCCACATGTTTGCCTGGTCACGTTTTAGGACCCAGCAGGCAGGGGCCACCTTTGCCCAAGTGGCCACCATATCATTCTCTTGCCCTGATAGACGCTTGGGCTCCATTGTAACCTGAAATGTGCTTTGGTTTCTATCCACCAGATTGGGAGCTCCAGCAGCAGGTCCTCGGTCTGACCTTGGCCCTGCCATGTTCCAGCAGGCCTGGCTCCTGCAGAGGGACACCCTCCCTGCAGCCTTGCTCCTACCCGACGCAGCATCCACCTCCGTTCAGGGACATTGATGGACTCTGGCTGTATTCAGGGTGCTGAGTGGGCATTGGAACTGGCCAGATTCCCACAGGAATAATCCAGTTTCCATCCGGGTGGGTCTTTCTACTAATTACCAGAGAAAGAGCCCAATGTCATAAGGGACCCTGGGACAGAGAAAGGACATTCATTGGAGAAAAAAAAATGACTGGTGAAACCCACATAAAGTGCCGGTTTAGACGACACTGATGGTGGTCACGGCTGCGGCCGGTCAGCCCTGCAGAAGCCCCAGCGCCGGCGCCTTGGTTGGGTCAGATCAGGCTCATTTCCCGTGGTTGTCACCACAAAGGGTCACAACCCGGATGATCTGGGCCACACCAGATCTGCTTACTACAGAAACAGCCCCCGTTTTTTATCTTACAGTACCGGGAAGAAGTCCTAGGCCCAGGTGTGGCAGGGAGAGGCCCGTCCCCTCCTCCAGCTCCAAGGCCAGCAGCAGAGCATCCTCCAGCCCTCTGACCCTGACCCTCCTGCCTCCTCTCAGGAGGACCCTGTGGTGACCCTGGGTGACCCCTGCTCAGGGGTCACCTCCCCTGATCCCCCCTCAGAGCCCCTTCTCCCCACCGCCCGGGCAGGTGCCGTGGCCTCAGGTTCTGGGGATCAGGACGTGAGTGTCTTTGGGGTGGAGGCCTCATCGTCCTGCCCACTGAGGGTGCACAGGGACACTGGAGTATCTTTGCAAATTCCCTGGGAATCTAAAATCATTCCCAAAATAAACCTTCTACTTAAAAGGAAGAACTGGGAGATGGTTCCAAAAAATCCAAACAAGTAGTACTCAAAGTCCCACGACCCAGGGTGCCGTGGGGCTCCGCCACCTCCTCCTGGCGTGCCCTGGGTGGACCAGGGGAGAGCTTTCCTCCCTCGTGAATGCCATTACAGCGTGCCTTCAACGACTCGCTGGTTTTCAGGAACTTTGTAAAGCCTTCCCACTGTTCCCAGCACCCCAAACGGCAGGGCCCCTCAGCTTTCCGGCCTCCATGCTGGCCCCACACCGACCGGCCTCCTGGCAGCCTGGCCCAGGGCTGGGCACCACCAGGGAGACCATCTCCCACACCCGCTCTCTCATCCCTGGGTCCTGTCAGGGTCCCCTCCTCAGGGGAAGCCTGTACCCCGTCCCCAGAGGAACTCAGGACCCTGAGCACGTAACCCCCACTCAAGAGCCACACATAAGACCCCCACGTGCTGTGCAGCCGTCGCACCATCCGCACACTCCACCACCCCAGAGCAGCCCGACCCACTCGCAGTCCCCCGCCCCCTGCACCCCAGGCCCACGCCCGTCTCTGGACGCCCCTATCGCTGGGTCACACGCTGTGGCCTTGTGTGTCTGGTTCTCACCGAGCACAAGGTCCTCAGGTCCGTCCACGCTGCTCTGTGTCCCCTTACTCCTGCCCTGGCCGAGCGCTCGGGGTGGCTGTGGGCCAGGTGTGTGCCTTCACCTGTGGTGCACCTTGGGCTGTGAGATGGCACTGCTGTGCACGTGGGGGCCGGCCTCTGGGTGGGAATCGAGCAGAACTGCTGCGTGCTGGGAGGAGCCGCCCACCAGAGCCTGCCACACCTCGTCCCCAAGGGCTCCTGCCCGACAGACACACTCAATCCGTTGAGGAAGTCACTTCGTTTCTGGGTCAGGCTCAAAGACACATGGGAAAGGCACCTTGAGAGGCGCTCAGGGTTCAGGTCGGGAGGCGGAGGCCCGGATGCCCTGCAGGGCCCCAGCTGCAGGAGGCCCCACCTGTGCGCTGACCCGCCCTGCCAGGCAGGGTGGCCTGGACGTAGAGCAAGGCGCCCACCTTCAGACACAGTGCAAGGCCAGCAGGCCCTCGGCCAAGGGGGCTGCCGGTGTCAGCGCCTCATCGGAGGCCTGAGAAGCAAGAACTGTCCCAGGAGCAGAGGAGCCGCGGGATGCCGGTCCCATGAGACTGGGACCTTTCAATTACAAGTAGCAGAAACTAAAGTGGCTACAGTGGGCAGAGCCAACAGGGGACGGCTTCAGGTGAGGGTCAGTCTAGACTCGAGCCTCAATACCAGCCCTTGCCACCTCCTGCCCTTCTCCCGCATCTCCCTGGGAGCGCCTCTCAGGGTGGCAGAGAGGCGCAGGTCTCCCCCCACAGGGAGCCCTGCCTCCAGGTCCAGTCCAGAGCAGGCTCTCATCGGCCACAGGGGTCCCAGGCCCAGTCTCCAGCCAACCAGTGGCTGGGCGTTCGGAGTCTCTGACCGGCTGAGCAGGGCCCTGTGATACCTATGGGTGGGGGTCCCGCCCACTGGAAGACCCCTCCTGAAATGGGGTCCCCAGGAAGGTTTCACATGTGAAGGGGACAGCTGTGACAGCTGCGGACACAGGGGTAGGGGCAGACCTGCTCGACGAATTCCGGACACTCGGCTGGGACCCGGGTGTCTACAGGGGGCAGCCTGTGAGTGGGCACGGAGGCCCGGAGCAGGAGGCAGGGCCAGACCCGGTCCTCCCTGGCCTTGGTGGGCCTCGGTTCCTCGCTGGGCACACCCCTGCCAGGGACACTGAGGAGAAAGAGACCTGGGGTTCTACGGCTATTTTATCTTTTTGTTTTGTTGTGTCCTGGGATTGAACCCAGGGAGCCCTGCCGCTGAGCACACCCCAGGCTTTCTGGCCTCGTGGCCCAGGCCGACCTCGAACTTGCCTCAGCCTCCTAAGTCACGGGATGACAGGCACGCACCTCTGCGCCCAGGGGGACCTGGTTCTGTACAGAGTTGGACCCTCAGTCCACTCAGGAGGTCAAAGTGTCCCGGGACCCGGTGGTCAGGCCCAGGTCATGGGAGACCATGGAGTGTTTTAGGGGCACAGGGAGGCCACAGAGAGACCCCAAGATCTCAAGGGCCTTTCTTTGGGAAAACGCAAGCTGCTTTTAACAGCACGTGGTTCTGGTACACTGAGGGACAGTGCCCTCGAGCAGGACCCCAGTGGTGAGTTCAACACATGCAAACTCCACCGGCCCCACCCAGGTCCTGCATGCGCCTGTCACCTCCCAAAGTTGCCTGTGTCCCTCTGCTGTTGTTGATCTGTTTATCAGTGTTGGGATGAACCAGGGCCTCACCAGGGAGACGAGCACTAACCACCGGGCCACACCCAGGGTCAGAACGTCCACTATAAAATCCACACTCCTGACACATTTCCAGTGCACAAAGTCGTGCGTAACTAGAGGCCTGAGGTTCTTAAGCCCCAAGGCTGCGAGACCACAGAGGCAGCAGAGCCCAGCAGCCTGATCCCCGTCCTGTCCTGACCCTGCCTCAAGGAGGGGGTCCCAGCTGGGCTCACCAGGCGTCCTGAGCTGGGGTCCAGGCAGGGGCGGGGCCAGGCAGGCTGGGAGGACCCTGCTGGGATACCCCTCGTGTGCCGGCCAGCCCCAGCCCCCTGCTGGGACACTGCTGAGCCCAGAAGCTGCCTCTGCTCCTGCGCCTGGTGCCAAGCCCAGCTCTGAGCCTCCTGGGGAATCGGCTGCCGGGACAGACAGGGGCCAGGGGACAGAGGACCCTGGGCCAGAGGGGCAGCCTGGCCGACCTCACAGCCCAGGCCTCCCCAGGCAGCTGCAGTGCCTGCTGTGTGCAGTGGCTAGAGCCCGGTGGACTGGACTCCATGATCAGGGAGCCTCTGGGGGGTCCGGCTGCCCACTAACTGCCCAGGGCCTCACTTACTCCTCAGCCCTCCCCCCAGGCCTGTGCGCAGAGTGCCCCTGGGGCTCCCACTCTCCCTGTCTCTCTCCTGCTTTCTCTCCCCTCCTCTCTAGACCTCTGCATCAGGCCTAATGTCCCATGTCCCTCAAGGTCCCCGAGGGCCTGCTCTGGTGCTGGTCTGGTCCACCCTCTGCCCTCCTCTCATTGGCCTGGCACCTGCCCCTCAGAAGCCCCGTGCTGCGGCCTCAGGGACCTGAGCTGTGGCCATTCTCCTCCCCCACCCCAGCCCCTGTCACTCAGGCCCCTGAGCAGGGGACACGGGGACCCCACTGCAGAGCCCCACCACAAGGCTCACCCTGGGGCTCCCTGTCCCTCAGGCCGAGCTCCCTACTCCACCTGGCCTCAGGTGGACCTGCCAGCAACTCCCCAGCAGGGCTGGCACCACCTGCCCATGCCCTGGCCGCCCAAATCAGGGCAGCCTCCTGTAGCCCCAGGCCACTGGGCAGACCGTGTCCTCATTCCCTGGGCCCAGGGCCTCTGAGTCCCTTCCTCTGACCTCTCTGTGGCTAGGCCTCCTCAGCAAGGGCCTTCCTGACCCCTCCCCTGCCTGCTTGAGCCTGGGCTCCCTCCTCCAAGGGTGGGATCAGAAGTTGGGGTCACGCCTGCCCCCGTGGGCCTGTGATGGGCCACTGTTGGAGCCGGCTGCACACAGGTGGTGCTTAATACATGGCAGTGTGACTGTTCTGAGGTGCTCCAGGATGGAGGGTAGACCGCAGGACCAGCGCGGCTCCGTGGCCCCAGCCTCGCCAGCCCCTACTCTGTGGTGAGGGCTGCAGGATGGGGGCCTGGAGGAGAGGTCACTCAGGCTGAGCCCGGTTGAGCCCAGGGGTCAGGACAGCCCCTCGGGCCGCCCGCCAGGGGGCGCCGCGGGTGTGGCGGGGAGCTGTGGGGCTGGCTGCAGAGCCGGGCGGTCCGCGCTGTCCCTGCGGGGCGGGGGCGGTGCACAGACCCCGCGGCGTCCCAGTCACCGCCCGTCCGCGCCCAAAGCGAGGTCCGGCTGCACGTTCTGGGCGCAGACCCCTGTCGGCCCCATTGCCGCGATGGGGAAACTGAGGTCGGAGAGGGACCTCTTGGACCCGGGTCTGGCTCGGAAGCCGCGGCTGGCAGCAGGGGACGGGCTGGGCGGGCGGGAGGCGGGTGGGGCGCGCGCGGTGACAGCAGCGCCCGGGAATGCGCGCTGGGAGGGTCTCTCCGCCCCCCGGCCGGCCCGCCGCGCTTCCCCGCGAGAGGGGCCCTGGCTGGGGCGCCCCGGGACCGCGGGAGCCCGGCGTGGAGGGTCCCCAGCACTGCGCAGGCGGCCGCGGGGGCCGGGAAGGGGAGAAGACCCCGCGGGGCGCAATCCCGGCGTCGGCAGGGAGGGGGCAGCGCCAGGCCTCCGGACCCAGGGCTAGGCGACCTCGGTTCGGCACATTCTCGGGCCCTGATCGCGGAGCCCAGAATAGCAGTCCCGGGTGGGGGGTGGGAGCGGTCAGTCTGGGCTTTCCAAGGTCACCCCACCCTGGCGCCAGGACACCAGGCCGCGGCTCTGCGGGACCGGGGCTCGCTCGGGCAGTCAGTCCCCTGCCGCAGATCCGCGTCCAGGCGCGCGCTGGCCGCGCGGGGGCGCACGGAGCCGCCACCCCTCCCGACCCCGGCCTGGGCGCGCCCCGGGAGGCCCCCGGTGGGAGGGGCCGCCGGAGTTCCCCCACCCGCACCTCGGGCCCCGCCGCTTCCGCTCGCCCTGGGGCCGCCCGGGAAACCTGGACACGCCGCTTGGGTTCTATGCAGCCGGTAAGTCCCTCTTCCTATCCTCCCACTATCCAGCCCAACGCCAGCAATGAGGTCTACTCCTCCCCTTCCCTGGCCCCGTGGGACTAGGGGGACCGGGTTGTGAGGGCAATAATCCACGGGTACGCATGAGCTCTGTGGTCCCTTCTCAGGGAAACTGAGGCCCACAGTGATCTTGCCCCAGATCACTATGCCAGTAGTGAGCAGCCAAAACAGCCCGAGAGGAACCTTGGGAATGGGGGTCAGAGAGGGGTAAGGTTGTTTCCGTGGCCCCCATTTTCCATCACCTAGACCCCACCCCGGGGCTCGAGTCCAGTGGGGTGTGGTCAGGAGGTCAAGCCCCTGACCCCAGCTTAGCGCTAAGGTCCAGGCAGCCTGAGCCAGAGAGGGCAAGAGTCAGCTGCTGCTCGGCCGCCCCAGAGGGCGCTCAGGCCCTGGCCTGGCTGCAGCTGCCCCAGGTTCTCGCCTCTGCACTCACCTCAGGGTCCCGAGGCCCAGGGTCAGCACCAGGGGACTGGGGACTGAGGGCCTGGAGGTGACCTTCCCATCTGGGAGCTGAGGCTCACCTGTCTGGCCTCCCTCCTCGGTGCAGGCCATGATCTCCAGGGGAGTGGGCAGCAAGAGGCTCCTTCCCCATGGGAGAGATGGCCCTGGGCCAGGTCCTGATCCCTGTCCCTGCCCCAGCCAGCAGGAGGTCCCCGCTGCTGCTGGGTCTAGGAGCTGGGAGCCGGGGGACCCTGAGCCTGGACAGGGCTCCTGACCAGCCCCACCCCGCACCCTTTGCAGGGTCTCACAGAATCATGGACTGAATCCAGGTGGTCCCCACGGCACAGATGGGGAAGCTGAGGCCTGGGGCAGCGGAGTGGCGGGTCCCTGGCCACACAGGAAGGTAGAAGCAATGATGAGGTGGAAAGTGGGGGGTGCCCCAGCCCAGGAGCCATTGTGCACTATCCTTGGAATGACCCCTTCACTCACCAAACATTAATTAGGCACCTACTGTGTGCCTTATAATACACATTCAGTAACAATAGCAGATAAAGTTTTGAGTACCCACCTCTGGACCCTACTTTATCCAACCAATCCCTCAAAACCCTATTATCTCCTCATTTTTTTCAGAGACAAAAAGGGGGCTCAGAGAGGTTTAATTACTGTATGAGATCACACAGCCAGCCAAGGCAGAGATGGGGTTCAGCGTCGGTTTAGCTGGCACCCGCTGCATAGGCACCCTCTGCCCGCCAAGACCCCGACCCTTCCAGAGCCTTCTGCTCTTGCTGTGGACCCTCCTGAACTGTGTTTTAGGGAGCAGCGCTCAGGTAAGGGGCGGGCAGTAGAGTCCAGGGCCGGACAGGAATGGGGACATGGCCAGCGGCGTGGGTTCATGCTGGCAGCAGGTTCACCAATTCTCCTCCAGGCTGACCGGCTTCTTTCTCCCCAAGTAGGGTCCGGGGGAGTGGACGCCCTGGGGGTCCTGGAGCCACTGCTCCAGCTCCTGTGGGCGGGGCGTCTCAGTGCGCAGCAGGCGCTGCATCCGGTGAGCGGGAGCCACTGGCTGGCAGTGCCGGGTCCCTGGCCCGCCTCTCCTGCCCGCTGGCCCAGCCCCTGCGCCCAGCCCCTGGCCGCGCCCAGGACCTGCCCACGCATGCTGTGCCCTTTAATCCTGCTGATCCCGCCGGAATGCGGGTGGGGTTGCTGGGGGCGAAGGGTGCACCGGCCTGGGCAGGGTGGGTCCCTGGGCTCTGACCACACGCAGGCCCGTCCGCAGGCTTCCCGGGGAGGAACCGTGCTGGGAGAGCGGCCATGAGTACCGCGTTTGCCAGTTGCCGGTGAGTTCGGAACTGCCCAGAAGCCCTCTTGCTTCTCAGACAGCCCTGCTACTGGGCTCCCCTGGGGGCTGACCCCTATCTTTGCTCCCAGGACTGTCCCCCAGGGGCTGTGCCATTCCGAGACCTACAGTGTGCCCTCTACAATGGCCACCCTGTCCTGGGCACCCAGAAAATCTATCAATGGATCCCTTTCCACGGCGGTGAGTAGCCTGGCCTCCTGTGGTTAGGGGTGGTCCAGAGTGAACGACTCATTGCTGACAGCCAGAGAGGAACTTGAAGAAGGGTTGCACAGAGAAGGGGCATTAGTGTTGGGGCTTTGAGGACTACGTAGGAGTTGGCAAAGTGAAGTGTGAAGCAGCACCAGAGAGCAGATCCGTTCTGCACAGGGTCAAGTGCCAGATCTGCAGAGGCTGGCCGTACTCACACTCATCGCAGTCATAGGAAATGTTGCAGCATCGAGCTGAAAATAGTGGGTTATATAACTGTGCCCAGGGCAGCACGCCTCCAGACTCAAGGGAGACAGGCAGCCTCAGCCTCCACAGTGGCAGGACACAGGAAGGCCTAGGAGGGAGAAGGTGCAGCCTCACGGGCTGATTTTCTTTCTCTTCTCCCTGCTCCCCCCGACCGAGAGCTGGAGGACCCTGCCATGTTCCCACGCACACAGTGCCCTACCCCAGCCAGGTCGAAATCCGTTGCAGGCAGGGTCTGCCAGCCCAGCTCAGACGGGTGAGAGGGAGAGGGAGCCTGGGCAGGGATCGGGACTGTGTGTGTGTTGGTACCATGGATTGGACCCAGGGGCACTTAACCACCAAGCCACATCCCCAGCCCTTTTATATACATACTTCGTTTAGAGACAGGGTCTCACTGAGTTGCTTAGCACCTCACTAAATTGCTGAGGCTGCTTTGAACTCACAATCCTCCTGCCCCGGCCTCCTGAGCCGCTGGGATGACAGGTGTGCGCCTCCACTCCTGGCAGGGTTGTGTGTTTGTGGGTGTAATGGGACAGCCCGTTTCACCATGCTGTTAGGCAGATGGGGAAACTGAGGCCAGGAGTGCAGGGACACACCCAGGCTACACGTGACTTAGTACTGGACAGACACTTATTTGGTCACCTGCTGGATGCGGGGCCCCAGTGCTGACTGAGTTCTGCCCGGTGCTGTATCTCAGAACCCACAAGTGTCTGGACACAGTAGGTGCTCAGTGAGTGCTTGTGGAAGGAAGGAAGGAAGGTACTGATGGACAGTACAAATGGACCCCTGACGTTGAGGCCACTCATGAATCAGTGCACCCCGGGGGAGCCCCAGGTGGCCTTTGGTCCAGTCCAGGCTCTGCTGCAGCTTCCTATGTGGCTTTGGCTGAATCTCTGGTCCTCATCTGCCCATATGTTTGCCGGATGGAGCTCGGGTCAGGGGGACTGGAAGTCCGATGGAGGTCACTGTCCCACTCACTTCTGCCCCCAGCACCCAACCAGTGCGATCTCAACTGCCTGGCGGAGGGACACGCCTTCTATCACAGCTTTGGCCGTGTCCTGGACGGCACCCCCTGCAGCCCAGGTGCGCAAGGCCTCTGCGTGGCTGGCCGCTGCCTGGTAAGGATTCGCCTGGCCCCGCCCACCTCCTCTCAGCCCCACCCCCGCCTCCTGTATCAGTTCCCAGGCTCCGCCCTTTTGCCCCAAGGCCCCGCCCCGGGCCCTGTCCGGGCTGCCTCAGGCCCGTCCCTCACCAGGCTCCACCCCAGGCTCCACCCCGCCTTCCCGCTCGGCCCCGCCCCTCCGCCCCGCCCCTTCCCGGTGACGGCTCCCCTCCGCACCCCGCAGAGCGCCGGCTGTGATGGGGTGCTGGGCTCCGGAGCCCTCGAGGACCGCTGCGGCCGCTGTGGCGGCGCCAACGACTCTTGCCTCTTCGTGCAGCGCGTGTTCCGTGACGCCGGTGACCGCCCTCCCCGTCCTCCCGATGCCCTGGCGGGCGTGGGCCCTTTAAGGCGTCGTGCGGTCCCGCTCCTATTGGGCCGTCTGTGGCCCAGCCCCTCTGGCCCGTCATCCTGATTGGTCGGAGGCAGACTGTCCCACCCTCTCGGAGCACTGGGGGCTCTAACCCCGCCCCCGCCCCCCGACTGCGCTCTCCGGGTACGGCGGGGCCGGCCGCGCTCGCGCCGCGCTCCCTTAACCCTCGAGTCGCCGCGCACCGCACCCACCCCGCACCCCTACCCTCCCGCCCAGGTGCCTTCGCCGGGTACTGGAACGTGACCCTGATCCCCGAGGGCGCCAGACACATCCGCGTGGCTCACCGGAGTCGCAACCACCTGGGTACCGCAGGGCCCGAGAGGGGACGGGGTCGCGGAGACGGTGGGGCCGGACCCCGGGAGCCTGGCCGACTCTTTCCTTGCAGCGCTGATGGGGGTCGACGGGCACTACGTGCTCAACGGGAACTGGGAGGTCAGTCCGCCCGGGACCTACGAGGCTGCGGGCACCCGCGTGGTCTACTCCCGCGCCGCAGCGCCGCAGGAGACACTGCACGCAGCAGGGCCCACCTCCCAAGACCTGCTCTTGCAGGTGCGCGCAGGGCGGAGCGGGAGGCTGGCTCTCAGGAGGAGCCTGGGCTACGGGGCCTAAGGGCAGCTCCCTGCCCTGCGTGCCCCACTCCAGATCCTCCTGCAGGAGCCCAACCCCGGCATCCAGTTTGAGTTCTGGCTCCCTCGAGAGCGCTACGGGCCCTTCCAGGTGCAGACGCAGGCCCTGGGCTGGCCCGTGCGGCAGCCACAGCCGCGGGAGGTGGAGGCTCGGGCCCCCATTGCTCCCCCACCTCTGATGCCCACCCTGGCCCCAGGTGAGGTGGGGCGGGCAGGGTGGGGCAGGCAAGGGGTGTGGCCTGTGCCCCTCACAGCCCCGCCCCCCACAGACCCCTGCCCACCCTGCCCTGACACCCGTGGTCGTGCCCACCGGCTGCTCCACTATTGCGGCAGCGACTTTGGTGAGAACCCTACCCCAGCGCTCACCGGGCCCCAGCTAACCTGACCTGACCCATTCCTCTGACCCTGCCCTGCCTACCCTTGATGGCTTCTTCTGACCCTGATTTTTTTTAGATTGTTTTTTAGTTGTCGGTGGACGCGTACCTTTATTTTGTTTTTATGTGGTGCTGAGGATTGGACCCAGTGGCTCACACGTGCTAGGCGAGCGCTCTGCCACCCAGCCCAGCCCAGCCCCAGCCCCTTCTGACCCTAATTTGACTCCTTGGTGTGATCACTAACTCTTCATGGATCCCTGACCTGCCTGGACCCCAGGCCCCACCTGACCCTCAGCCCCCGCTTCCGGCAATGGCCTGTGGATGGGTGTGGGGGGTGGACGTCCAGCTGACTCTCAACCCACCCTGCACACAGTGTTCCAGGCCCGTGTGGTGGGCCGCCACCGCCAGGCCCAGGAGACCCGCTATGAGGTGCACATACAGCTCATTTACAAGAGCCGCTGGCCACTGCGGACTCGAGAGTATGTGTGGGCGCCTGCCCACTGCCCCTGCCCACCACTGGCCTCCCAGCAGGAGTACCTGATGGCTGTCCGGCGTCTCATCAGCCCTGATGGCACACAGGACAGGCTGCTGCTGCCCCATGCTGGCTACGCCCGGCCCTGGAGCCCTGCTGAGGACAGCCGCATCCGGCTGGCTGCCCAGCGCTGTCCTGTCTGAGCCCTTGGAGGAGACCTACACGACTGACAGCAAGAAGGACCCCATGAGGAAGCTCAAACTCAGCCTGTTTCCCCTCTTACCTTGGCTTCAAGGGTGCTCAGAAATACCTACCACTTGCAGCGGTGTGATTCCCTGTCACAAATAGACAACCTTTGTGTGAAGTCAGATCCAGTCATAAGCAGGCAGGCACTAGGGAGGACGAAACGAGACTGAGAAGACTCATTTCCCCCTCTCACCTTGTCTTCCAGGAAGCTCATAGCTATTTTACACTCAGAAATTTTGTGCTTGTTTTCATCTTCCTGGCTTCACACTAGCTTAGAGACAGTCACAGAGGATAACAGGCATAACATGACATTGTAATGTATCCATTTCCCTGCTGAGTACCAGGAAGCTCCTCCCTGTTTAACTCCCTAACGCCTGTGCTCACATCTCTCTCAGCCATTCACATACACGTGCTTCTATATTCAAAGACACAATCACAAGCCTGCATGCCCCTTAGAAGACATGCCTAACCAGGCACCATAATCTACTCATTTCCCTTTTGGCCTGGGTTTCCTCCAGTCAACAGACTAGTGTCCACCTTTTTTAAAAAAAGTTTCACTTTGACACAGGCTGCTGGCCTTGAGCTTGCCATCTTTCTGCCTCAGCCCCTGGAGTCGTGGGGATTACAGGTGTGCCTTACTGTGCCCCACTCAACCCCTTTCTTATTCTTATTTATTAATTTTTATAAACACTTAAAAAAAAAAAAAAACAAGACTCTCCGGTGCACATATTCTGCCACGGGAACTCAGGGACGCCTTGGAAGAATCTCAGCTTGTGCTGACAGGGTCACACCCTCCTCCGTGTCCTGTGCCCCAGCCTTTGGGGCAAGGACAGGACATACACAAGGAGGGAAGGAGGGAGGCAGGGGACAAAGGGGCTGTGACCGGCCCTGAGCCTGTGGAGGCCTGAGCTCTCTCTGGGGGGGAGGGACAGGTCAGAGCCCCTGCCCCTGTGTTCTCGTAGCTTCTCCAACCAGGGGGCCATGCCCAGGCATGTATGGGCAGGTGTCTGTGGGGTCACATGGTCACTCAGCAGGCCCTCCTCTTGGGGTGTGCCTGAGAGACAGTCCCACTGTCTCACCCTGATGGAAGCCCCCAGTGTCCTTTGGGGACACTGGGGGCCTGGGGTGAGGAATGGTCAGCTCTCCCCTGCCGCACAAGAGCCCCTTCCAAGCCGCTGCAGCAGGGCAGGGGAGGGGAGGGCAGGGTGCTGGACTCAGCCCTGACCTCACGGGCGACCTCCGGAGGCCCTGCCCCTCTGTGGATACGCTGTAAACCCCTCCTGGACCTGGCCACAGGAGCCGCATTCTCCAGGAGTCCTTCCCCAGTCCCTCCGTTTGTTCATGCATGCCTGCATTATTTATTGAGCACCTACTGTATTCCAGGACCCAACAGTCCCTGGACAGGCCCAGGCCGGGGAGCAGTGGCTTCACTGCCTATGGCCTTCAGTGATGGCGGGCAGCCCAGGGTCCGCACTGCCCGGAGAGTACAGGGGTTCGGGAGGAGCTGCGGCCTGGCTGCAGGATGAGGCCCACTCCCCGCGGTGCCCTGCGACACCCATCTGCCTGGTGCCTCCCAGCTGGTCTCCGCTGGCCGCCCAGACCCAGGTGGTCCTCGGTCCTCCGTCCGGCTTCCTTGGGGGTCCGGGAGGGGCGGAGATCAGCGGGACCGGGCGGGGCCTGTGGCCCAGCGGGAGAGCGCTGCGCAGCCAGTGGGCGGCTCCAACACCGCGACCAGGTCCGCAGGGTGACCCGGGGCTGAGTGAGGTGGAGGAGCTGCCACCAGGGCCGGGTAGCCACTGGGCTGCAGCTGCGCTTCCGACTAGGAGGCTTACAGGGGTGTCCCCAACACCCGGCAGTTTCCCCGACACCTCTCTCAATTCGCTGTAAGCTTTAAAACAAACCATTGGATAAACAGATGAAGACATTTTAATCCCAAAGGAAATGGAAAAGGAGCAGAATAGCTCCCACAGAAACCCAGCAAAACCGCGCGCTGTGGCTGGTTTACAGGGTCAAGGACTGAACCACAAGGGCCGGGCCAGGAGCCCGCCTCCGTCACCGGGCCAGCCCGACTCCCCCTGGGGAGAGACCACAGACATCACACAGAAGGGAACCTGCCCAGAAGCCCGGCTCATGGCAGCCCAGGACCGGGAGTCACTGCCCACCTGGAGGTGACAGCTGCAGTTGTACCGTGCACCCTGTGTGCAGCCTGCGCCCTGAAGAGGCCGAGACCAAGGACAGCGGTTTTTCTGCCGGGTCCAGCAGAGGGGCCCTGGGCACTTGTGTTGCTGCTGTTGTTCTCTACAGACAGCACAACCTGTAGCCTGCATGGGGCTGGTCACTCCCCAAACCCTGGCCTCCTGTCCCGGAGCACTGCAGTGCCCTCCCAGCACGGTGGCCGGCCCAGTCACAGACCGCCCATGGGCTGAAGGTCGGAGGTGGGGCCCCAGGACGCCCACTTGCTGCAGGGAGGGAGGGAAGGTTGGTATCTTTGCTGTAAAAAAGAATTTGGTGGCAGAGCGTGGTGGCCACACCTGGGATCCAGCCATTCACCTAGGCTTCCAGCTACTCTGAACGCTGAGGCAGGAGGATGGCAGTTCAAGGCCAGCCCCAGCAACTTAGTGAGACCCGGGCTGGGCTGGGGCTGGACTGGGCTGGGCTGGGGCAGAGCGCTTGCCCAGCACGTGCGAGGCCCTGGGTTGGGTCCTCAGCAGCACCTAAGATAAATGAAATCAAGGTGTTGTGTCCACCTGCAGCTACAAACTTGAAACAAGACAAGGACACAACTAAGGACACCAATTAATTAAAAAGGGGAGGCTGGGCTCGGTGGTGAGCACCTGGGTCAGTCTCTACACTGACAATACGTAAGTAGACCCAGACATGGACCATCCATGAAGATGGAGATGGACACTGGAGCCACGTAGCTGCAAGCCAGGGATGCCTGGAGCCCCAGAGCTCAGGATCCTGCTTGGAGCCTCGGGAGGGACACCCTGAGCACAGCTGGACCTCCAAAGCTGGCCTCCAGGATGAGGGGAGGGTAAATGCCCCTTGTGGTCATCGTGGCCAAAGAAGACTCAGACGCAACAGCCCCTGACAGGTGTGCGCCCAAAGGAAACAAGCCCTCAGTCCACCAAAGGACATTTCTAGAACATTCCTGGTAGCGTGGTCACAGTGGCCAAAAGTGAGGCGTGACTCGGGTGACCCTCAAAGTGGCCCAGGATGAATGGACATGGCTGGACTATAGCAGGGACATGAAAAGCCCAGGGCAACTGGCCGTCTCCTCACTGTGTCGAGTGCCAGGGGTGCTGCTGGGGAACCACAGAGGAGGACAGGGATGGCTTTGGGCTCCGGGGAACGTGGTCTGCAGGCATGGAGGGAGAGGCGAGACCTGGGGGCTGGTCCCATGGGGGTGGCCGGTGGCACCCCATGTTGAATTAGACAGTGAAGCTCCCCACTTCCACCTAGAGGGAAGGCCACCTCCTCGCCACCTGTGTGCCTGCCCAGGTGGACACACCTGGCCATCCTCTGAGGGGCAGAGCTAGGGCCCTTTCGAGGCCTGGGCTGAGGGGTGCCAAGGGGCTCAGCTCCTGTCCTCCCAAGTGGTGCCACACCTCATCTGGAAACCCCCCCAGCCACAGATGAGTACACCTGTGGTCCTGTCCCCAGTGCCCACGTGGACGAGGGTCAACTCACGACTGCCCTGGACCCTCCATCCTGGTGAACCCTACCTCCCCTGAGAAGCCTAGAGTCCACTCCAGGGCACCCGTCCAGCCACAGGGCTCCTTGCTGCTGGCCGCATGCCAGGCTGGTCCTGCTGCAGGGCCTGGGACGCTCTGCAGTGTCCGCAGGTCTCCTGTCCACTCCGGGGCTGCCGTGGGCCTTTCTGGCTGAGCGCCCACCTAACCGCCTCACACAGCCGCTGCCCTACCCTTCCCTGCTGTCTTCTCCCCGTGATGCGCTTGTCACCTTGGTCCCCTGGCCAAATTCGCAGGCCCAGGAACATTTCTTTGGGTCTCTGCTGGCCCCTGGGCTCCTGGGACAGGGCCGAGTTCAGAAGGTGCTCCTCAGGTGTGTTGAGGAGATGAATGCCCGGCCACCGTCCCCACCAAGCCCCCACTGAATGCGCAGACAGAGGACGTGCGGCTGTTGGTTGGCGGCTCAAAGTCGCCCTGTTCTCTGGAAAACTGTCTGGGTGTGTGGGGCCGCCAGAGCCCTAGCCGGTCACATGGTAAGGACTGCAGGAGTCCACTGCTGTGCTGGACAGACAGCAGGGTCCCCGGGACACATGGCCCACCGAGCACTGCAGTCACAGCCTGGAGCACGGTAAGGTCGGGTGGGCCTACAGCCCTGCTTCCACCTGCGGGCGAGCACCGAGCTGGCCACCGCCCTGTGGCCAGGAGGGTCCCCGGGGGAGGCGGGCGTCCCCCAGGGCACCAGTGTCACCCTCGCTGTTCTGCGCTCAGCTTTCTGCAACACGTCTGTCCCCTGCCTGCTGCTGCCTGGGCCTGGGCCTGTGATCTGGCCTGTCCCCCCAGCGACCCAGGGGCCCGGAGGCTGGGGTGCGAGTTCAGAGTGGTCAAGTGCCCTGGGTTCCATCCCCAGAACTCAGACACCAACAAGACAGCCCTGGCCAGGGCCCACTGATGTCCTCACACTGCCCTTGAGTGCCAGGCCCTGGGCTCCCTGCTGGGGGCTTCGCCCTCTCCCTGGCCCTGCACAACTGCAGTGGGCGGTGGCTGGAGTTCACGCCCCCCCCAGCCCACAGCCCAGGTGGTCATGCCCAGCACTCAGGCCACCTGGGCAGGAGAGTCCCAGGTGTGCACTCAGCAGCTGCTCCCCTCCCCTGCCCTCCGGTCCTCACTGTGTGGGCGTCTCCTGGCGTCCCCTTCCCACATCTCTTGGGGGACCGCGGCCAGGCCAGGGGCATGCCCGCCGCTTCTTTGCTCTGGAGGAATCTTGTTTTGTTTTTAAATGAAGAGTGGGCACGCGGATGCAGCTGACCACAGGCCCGCGACACGGGGACGCAGGAGGGGTCCGGGCTTGCACCTGCCTGGTGGGGCCCTGGCTGTCCTGCCACCTGCGCCCGGTGAAGGGCTGCTCTGCACAGTGGGCACTCGCGCCCGGCACCCGGCGCAGCAGACACTCGCGAGCTGGGGCCGGAACTTTATTGGGCACGTCCAGCTGGTGCCTAGTAGGCCAGGTGTTTCAGGAGCCAGCAGGGCCGGCGGCAGGGCAGCTGGTGTCGGCAGTGAGGCCAGCTGTAGGTGATCTCGGTGGTGGACTCCGAGGAGCACTCCAGCGAGGACTCGGAGTGGGAGGGGACGGGCGACCTGGGTCCCGAGGTGCTGGTGGCGGCCTCCTTCTGCTGCCGGAAGCTGCCCTTGGAGGCTGGGTTCCGGGGCCCACTGGGCAGCTTGCTGGGGGGCTGCGAGGGGGTGGTGGTGCTACTAGGAGACTGGCCAAGGGACGGGTCCTGGTTGGAGGTGGTGCTGGGGCCCCGCCCGGTCCCTGAGGACCCTGGGGCCTGTGGGGAGGGCACCGGGGCCGAGTTGGAGAAGCCAGTGTGCGGCTGGGGCTGAATCTGTGTCTTTCTGGCCACCTGGGAGCCACTGGTAGAGCCAGAGACGGCCTGGCCCTGGGACATGGAGCTGGGGGTGTTCAGCGAGTGAGACTCTGTGGAGGCAGCAGAGAGGGGGCTCCCGGTGGGCCGGGTGGGACTTGAGTGCCCCGCGCGAGGCTCTGCCTGGGAATCTGTGGAGGGCTCCGTGGGGTGCTGGGCGCCTGATGTGGTGTGGTAGGTGCCTGATGTTGGGTGCTGGGTGCCTGCTATGGGGTGGTAGGTGCCTGCTGTGGAGTAGTAGGTTCCTGCTGTGGGGTGCTGGCTGCCTGATGTGGGGTGCTGGGTGCCTGCTGTGGGGTGCTGGGTGCCTGCTGTGGGGTGCTGGGTGCCTGCTGTGGGGTGCTGGGTGCCTGGTGTGGGGAGCTGGGTGCCTGGTGTGGGGAGCTGGGTGCCTGGTGTGCGCCCCTTCCTGCTGGACTGGTCCGTGCCAGAGCTGGAGGGCGGCTTCACTTGTCCTTCAGCTGCGGGCTCTGGCTTGCCTTGGCTGCGGAGAGGGCAGGGAGGGGCAGTTGGGTGATTCCATCCACCACCCCCAGGGCTCTGCCCAGCTGCTGGGAGCAGGACTTAGGCCGTTAGTGATGGAGTCAGCTCCTTCAGGGGCCAGGTGGTCACCCGGGCAGTCGGGCACACACATCCACCCTGTGCCCGCTGACTCCCGTGTGGGCACAGGGACAGGTGAGGACCCATGTCCTACGCACAGCGCCTGCTCACAGCACACTGGCACACAGGGTGCGCACACTCACACGCAGGCACACGTGCGTCCAATGTACATGAGTGCCACCGGCATGCACCGGCCTTGCCCGCCCCGGGTACCTACGGGGGGCTTCCAGGGCCACCGGAGGCTCCGCTGCCGGCACTGGGGTGACGTGCGCCCGGCCGCGGGCCAGGGCCTGAAGCACTGGTTCCCGAGAGCATGCAAGAGAGAGGTGTGTGAGGGGAGCCCCAGAGGCGTGGTGGGGACCCCAGAGAGTGGCCGAGGCCCAGGGGAGGCAGGCTGGGAGGCAGCAGGCCGGCAGGCCGGCGGAGACCCCGGCCCCAGCACCTACCGTCCCTGGCTATTCCGCCTGCCGCGTCCAGGACTCGGCCGCTGAGTTGGCTCACGGCGCTGTCCACGGCCGCGTGGTGTTTTAGGAACACTGGACGCACCACGCGATGATACAGGACTAGAGCCCCGTTCCAGGGCCCCGGCGTCATGCAGAACAACAGGAAGGCGCACTGCAGGGCACAGCCGTCACACTGGGGCCTGTCTCTCAGTGTCCCTGCCAGACACCCACCTGGGCAGGAACTGGGCCTCCACCCTCCGACAGCCCCTGGGACGGTCCATGTCCCTGTCCAGCCTGGAGGCAGGCCCCAGACCCCACACACCCTGGACTCTTGGCTGCCCCCTCTTCCCCAGGGTGGGTGACCTGCTTGTCCTGGGGTCCCCAGGAGGGGCCGGCCCCCCACCTTGCCCACGTAGTAGAAAGGGAACCAAAACAGGAGTAGGTCGCTGAAAAACTCCATCAGCCCGAACACAGCGTACACCACCCAGTAGGTGAGCCACACGGTATCGTCGTCTCTGCTTGGGCTCTCGATGGCTTTGACTCTGCGGGAGGCGCAGGAGGCTCAGGGGCCACGTGCACCCCCAGGCTCCCCTCCCATGGGGCAGCCAGGGCACTCACGAAGCATATGCGGGGTATACAAATCCGATCAGGTTGCACAGTAGAGATGCCCCGTAGCCGAACAGAAGATACAAGCTTAGCAGAATGACGACTCCTACAGGAGACAGGGACCATCCAGTAGCACCCGGAGGCCAGCACCTCCTGCCAGAGCCCCAGCAATGCCTCCAGGATGCCCGAGCCGCCACTGGGGCGCTCAGTCCCAGGGCCACTAGCCCTGAGGTGTCTGTGTGCAGATGGTGGGCATGTCCTGCTTCCTCATGGGCTGTGAGCACCCCAAGGGCAGGCAGGGACCTGGGCTCTGAACCAGGGCTCAGTTGTGCAGTGAGCACAAAGCAGTTGCCCAGAGAGCATTTGTTGAGTGAATAAGTGACCATCTGCAATTATAAGAACTTCATTCCAGGTCCTGTGGGAGGTGCTGGGAATAGGAAGGCAGTGCTTGAATCTGAGTGATGCAAAAAAATGTGAAAGTAAGACCCTCTGTCACCAGGACTTGATCCCTGGGGGGCTGGGAGAGCTGAGTGGCTATGACCTTTGTAAAGGCTCCACCCTGCTGATGCGGGCACGATCCATTCACTGGAGTGGTTGTCCTGGGCCCTGCACAGTGCTGAGCAGCACCTCTGGCCTCCACTCACTCCAGGCCAGGGGCTTCCTGTGGGACAACCACAAATGTCCCCAGACAAGGCTAAATATGTATGCATGGGGCAGTGTTGGCCCCTCTGAGAACCCAGGTATTCCCAGAGCTGGAGGAGCCTGTTCCTTTCCCTGCCACCTGCGGCAAGCCTTTCCTGTGGAGTCTCACTCCCACCTGCAAATGGGGGTGGTGGCTCCCACCTAGGTGGCTGTGGGTCAGGGGACCCTTACTTCCTACACCTTCTGGCCACTAGAACATACTCCCAGCAATGGAGGTTCCAAGACAAATGAGGGAGGGGGACAGGAGCTCAGCCACAAAAGAGTGATGACTGTGGCATCTGCCAAGCACCCACTGTGCCAGCCTCAGGGCCTCCTCTGCCTTATCTCATTCGGCTCTGAGGCCAGGGGAGCAGCTTCCCAAGGGCACACAGGAACCTTGGAGCCCCTGGACAGCTTCCCCCCTCCTTCCCTGAGGTTGTTATCGGCAGAAAGAGATAGAGGCCACTTCTGGACCAAAGGGCAGAGCGCCAGATCACCCCACCCTTTCCTCCACCTGCATTAGCCTCTGTCCTCCAGGTCCAGAAGTCAGAGCAGTCAGACAGGGACCCAGGTGGCCCCAAAAGGCCATGTGACCTCTAGGTCACTGCCTCCTCTGAGTTGTCTTATCTGTCACCTGGGGGCATGGAATTTGGCAATCTGGGGTCGGTGAGGCTCATTGTTCCCTATATCTAGGTGAGGTTCAAGGGGGATAGCACTCCTTCCTTGGGTTTGCTAGTGGGGAAGGAGGGGCTCTTGCTCCTAAATCCCTTTAAACCTGCAGTCTCAGCAATGAAAGGATGACCTTGGACATCAGGGTTGTGGGGGGAAGGGACCCAGAGATCAACAGATGGGGTTGGGGCAGGGAGGGGGGCCATGCTCCAGACAGAGGCAGCCTCCCCCAGTCCCTGCCTCCCTGTGCCTCAGTTTTCTCCCTGAAGATACCCAGCCCCCTCCCCTCAAGTGCTCTATGACCTACATTCCCCACCCACTGGGACAAGGCCTGTGGAAAGCCAGGGCAGAGGCCGGGACCTGCACTGGGCAGGCACAGCACACACGTGCCACCTGGCTGAATTGCTGGGGTGTGGGGCTGGGCACTGGCGGGCATCCAGGGTCTGGACAAGGATTTCAGACCCTCCTTGAGCTGCCTGCATGGGAATCCCCCAGCTGGTGGGAAAATGGGAGGAAGGTGGTCTCCCAGAATCTGCCCACAAAAGGTGATCAAAGAATGTGGCACAGCCCTCCCTGCGGAGGCCTCAAGACCCAGACAAGTGTCCTTGTGGTCCAGGGGGAGGGTCTCCTGGAAAAGGCAGTGGACCTCTGAGTACTACAAAAGGGGGAGAAGGGCACTTGAGCACTGACCATAGACCTACTGCACAGGTTTGAAAAGGGGCAATGGAAATGGAATGGAGCTACAGTCGTGTGGGCGGCTTCTTCCTGCCCAGGGAACCAACACAGCTCTCCACAACCCAACTCAACACATAATAAGGACACTAGAGTAAGTCAGGAACGGGGGTACAGGAAGAGGGCTCCAGGAGGAGGACCTGGGCTTCCCCTCGGACAAACGGGAAAATGTCTGTACCCACTGCCAGGTTCGGGTCCACTCAGGAAGGGGTTGGGGCAGACACACAGGTCGTTGGCATCAAGACTGCCCCCACACCTAGTTAGGCAACTGGAAGAACTGGACTCAGCCTGGCAAGTGCCCAAGGCCCCGACGGAAGGGGCAAAGAACTGTTGGGACCACGGCTACAGGGGAGCCCGGCAGGAGCCGAGAGTTGCCCTCACTCAGGTCGCCGGGCGGGCACAGGGCAGGGGCTGCAGGCAGACCCTCCAGATCCGTATCCTAGGTCCTCTCCCTCCCCAGGATCTGGGTCTCTATGCTGAGCAGCAAGACGTGCGCCTCTCCCGGACCGGACCCCGCAGCCGGGGCCAGTCGGAGAAGCGTCAGGTCTCGGTGCCCAGCGCTTCAGTGTGCCCGTCAGTGCAATGGGGCAAGCGTCCCGACGGCTCACCCGCGGCCAGATACCGCTTCTCGACACCGGTCTTGGCTTCGAGCGCTCCGAGCGCTTCGGTGACAAAGTTCTTCTGTTCCAGAAAGCGCTCGAAGCGCTGGCGCAGGCCGTCCATGGCACCGGCGGGCCCGGGGCTGGCAGCTCGAGCTGGAGCTTGCCTGCTGCCCCACGCACCGGCCCCGCCGAGCGCGAGCAGCCTTGCCCCTACTAGGGCTGCCCGGCTCCGCCCCCAGGTTGCTGGTTTCCTCCCCTGTTCCGGGCTCCGCCCCTGTTCCCCCGCTCCGGCCAATGGGAGGGCAGGGCGGACAAAGGAGGAGGGGCCTGCCCCCTCTCCCCCGCCGCATTGCCCTCTGGCCGGAGGCGGGCGGAGTGGAAAGGAGGCGGCCGCGAGGGGGGCGGGGCGCGGAGACCGCGGGCGCTGATTGGCCGAGCAGGAGTGGGACGTAACTGGTTGGAAGGTGTGGCGTCACGGCCGGGGATTATTGGCTGCATCGCTGAGAAGGGTGGAGCTAAGAGAGGAGAGGAGCGTGCTGATTAGGGCAGCGCGGGTGTTAGGGCCAGAGACAGGGGCGGGGCTGAGTAGAGGGGAGGCGGGGTAAGCTCGGGATAGGGCGGGGTTAAGAGAGGAGGCGGGACTTACCCAGAGAAACACTTCTGGTTGGAGAGGACAGGAGACGGAGCTGATTTTCGAGAAAGGGGTGTGAAGAAAGTGGGTGGGGCCAAATAAAGGCAGCTTCCCCTTCCCCTATGCAACAATGAACCTGCTCCTGTGGGCCGGAGTTGGGTCCGCGTACAAATGAGGAAACGGAGGCTCCAGAGGGCTTAGGTCTGTGGACACGCGTACCCTCCTACGGCTTCTGTCGGGCCTTCCCGCCCCACTTGGGGGAACCGCAAGGCCCCCTGGGAGTTGAAGCCCTCGGGTTGCTATGGCGCCGGCAGTCCGGCGGGCGCCGGGCCGACTAGGCGGTTTGGCCAGAGGGAGGGGCTTTCCGGAGGCCCCGCCCCCGGTCCCGCCCCCGCCATGCGGCCAGCCCCGACTGCGCTCTGTCTGCGCCTGTCCTTGGCCCTTGCCCTGAGCCTGGGCTTCGTCCGCCCCCTGGCTGTGGCCTGGGCCACGGCCCCGGCCCCCATCTACGTCGGCAGCTGGGCCGTGCGGGTGACACAGGGTTACCAGGAGGTCGAGCGCCTGGCACGCAAATTTGGCTTCGTCAACCTGGGGCAGGTGGGTGGGACCCGGCTGGATGGGAAGTGTGGAGCTGGGCGACCCCCAGACCCCAACAAAAAGGACCCGGGTCCCCAAGGCCCCCCAAATATCAAGAACCCCCAGCATACCCCTGCCACGGCCACCTTAGATTCTGGGACTCCCAGAAGCTTCCACCTGGGCCCCTGGTTGGGAGCATGCAAGCAAGGGGGCCGGCCTGGTTGGGGTGGGAGTGCCTCCATCAGGGAGCCGGTCCCAGCAGAGCAGCTCGGCATGCTTCCAGATCTTCCCTGACGGGCAGTACTTCCACCTCCGGCACCGGGGCGTGGCCCAGCAGTCCCTGACTCCCCACTGGGGCCACCGCCTCCGCCTGAAGAAAGACCCCAAGGTGAGTCTGGTCTGGGAGGCTACTTGGGTCTCAGCCACCTGGGGCCAACCAGCTGCCTTCTGTTATTCTTGTGATTGCTATGGTGGCCGTGTGGCCTCCAGCAAGTCACCAACTCAGCAATTCGCTTTCCACTTGGTCCCCACAGTGGGGACCAGATGAGGAGGTCTGTGTGAGCATGCCACCCCCAGGACCTGGTACAGAGTAGGCACTTATTGCCACTCCCTCTTCCTTCCTAAAAAATGAGGGGCCCCAAACACTCTGGTAAGAAGGGATGAATGGTCCTTCCTTTCTCCCCACCTCAGAATGGAGAGATGGGAAATGGCCCATTTGACCAGCATGAAAACAGTTGCAGAGTAGGAAGCCAAAGCTGCCCAGTGATCTGGGGGCTCAGAGGGGTGTCTGCTCCCAGTCAGTCCCTATCCTATCAAGAAAAGGTCTCAGATGCCCAGATGCAGAATTAGGATGGATTCTGGGGAGCCCTGGGTGCTGTGAAGTGGGGTGGGCTGCACTGGAGGGCTGCTTGCCCATAGCATTGGGAACTGAAAGATGTGACCTATACATAGTTTGCAGGAGAGCAGCCAGGGCTGGCAGATGGATTGGAAGAAATCAGGAGGAGAGAGAGAAATCAGGGCCAGTTCCCAAATCTGGAGCTAAGCAACCAGAAAAAGATGGCCCAGACCACTGAGATGGGGGCTGGGAATATGAGCTGAGTTGGGGGATACCAAGATGGTAAGAAGCAGGGATGGCAAAAGCCAGAAGAAGAGCATAATAGTATGTGCAAAGGTCCTGGGGTGGAAATGGATTCACAGGCTCTTGGAACAAGAAGGCAACCATTGTTAGTGAGCAGTAAGGAGGCTGGTAGTTGGCTAGACAGGTAGGGCTTGTGGGCAGTGGACAGGGAAATGGAGAACTAGAAAAGAAATGGGTGTGGACATTTTGGATGGGGAGGTAAAAGTGGCTGGTTTTTGAAGTGATGCTGAGGGACCCAGGGGGACCTTGACACAAGGATCTAAATCTGGAAGGGAGTAAGAGGCAGCTGGGATCAGAGGGGCCCCACTCATCCTCAGCTTTGGCCCTGGGTCTGTGGGACCTAAGAGTAGGTGTTCTGAGAGCTTTGGGCAGACAGAGGACAGAGGAGATGGGCCTGAGGAGCAGCAGCCCCAACAGACACAGAACCTCCCCAGAGGTCCTCAGTCCTCTAGTCCACCTCCCACACCTGTAAGGCCTCAGAGATAAGCCCTGGACGGTCCGGCTGTGTCCCCAGGTGCAGTGGTTTGAGCAGCAGACGCTGCGGCGGCGTTTCAAGCGCTCCTTTGCAGAGCCCTCGGACCCCTGGTTCTCCAAGCAGTGGTACATGGTGAGCAGCTGGGCTGGGGCAGGCGGACAGGCAGGGCCAGCCAGAGCCCCGCTGACCAGACCCCTGCCTTATGCAGAATACCCAGGTGCAGCCGGACCTGAACATCCTGCAGGTCTGGAGCCAGGGCCTGACGGGGCAGGGGGTCGTGGTCTCCATCCTGGACGATGGCATCGAGAAGGACCACCCGGATCTCTGGGCCAATTACGTGAGACCCTGGGTGGCTAATGGGGGCTGCCCCAGATTCAAGGCTGGCCCCGCCCCAGGGATGCCTCAGACCCTCTCCTGTCCCCACCTGCCTCCAGGACCCCCTGGCCAGCTACGACTTCAACGACTACGACCCGGATCCCCAGCCTCGCTACACGCCCAGTGATGAGAACCGGTGAGTCCTGGTCCTGTGGGTGAGGGGACCCACTGTCCACAGGGCCAGGTGGGCTCTCATGGGTGCACTTCTTGGCCCTGGCACCAGGCATGGGACACGCTGTGCTGGGGAGGTGGCCGCCATAGCAAACAACCACTTCTGCGGGGCGGGTGTCGCCTTCAACGCCCGGATTGGAGGTACGCAGGGTCCGCTAGAGCACAGCCCGGGACAGAGGGGAGGGTCAGGCTGGGACATGTGGGCACACAGGCCTTGACAGCTGCGCAGTGCCGACCCCAGAGTGCAGTGCATGCATGGGTGGAGCCCCCAGGGAAAGGGACGGTGGGCGGCAGGCCTGGCGGGCAGCTGGTGGAGAGTCCCATGCCCCCCGCGCAGGCGTGCGCATGCTGGACGGCACCATCACCGACGTCGTGGAGGCCCAGTCGCTGAGCCTGCAGCCTCAGCACATCCACATCTACAGCGCCAGCTGGGGCCCCGAGGACGACGGCCGCACGGTAGACGGCCCAGGCATCCTCACTCGGGAGGCCTTCCGGCTGGGTGTGACCAAGGTGAGCAGGGGCCCACCCTGTGAGGGCCAGGCCTGGGCGCCAGGCCAATGCCCTGCCCCGTCCCTCCCCACAGGGCCGCGGCGGGTTGGGCACACTCTTCGTCTGGGCCTCAGGCAACGGTGGCCTGCACTATGACAACTGCAACTGCGACGGCTACACCAACAGCATCCACACGCTGTCCGTGGGCAGCACCACCAAGCAGGGCCGCGTGCCCTGGTACAGCGAGGCCTGCGCCTCCACGCTCACCACCACCTACAGCAGCGGGGTGGTCACCGACCCGCAGATCGTGAGTGCCCGTGACCCTCCCCTGACCCAACCGCAGAGGCCCCGGCTCTGAGGCAGCCGCTCCAACCCTGCCTCGGGCCACCAGGCTGCCTCCCAGCGCCTCTGCAGGACTTCCCTCTCCACCTTCCCAGGCTCCTGAGGCGGGCACCCAGCCCTCCTGCTCTGGCCGCTTGGCCACCCTCCCTGTGACCCAGGCAGGACAGCTACCCAGGTGCCCGCCCGTACCTGAGCCTGGCGTGCCCTCTGACCTGTGCCTCCAGACCTTGGCCATCTGCCCCTTTATCTTCGGTGGCCTGGGATGGAAGGCAGGCCCCGCAGCCAGGGAGCACTCTGCCCCGAGCCACGTCTGAGACGTGAATCTCGAGTCAGGGTCTCGTCAAGTTGCCCAGGCTGGGATGACAGATGTGGCCACCTGGTGTGCTTTTTAGCGCTTTTTGAGTGCAGTTCTTGGTGCCTGTGAACAAGGGCTGCGTCCTCCCTGTGCTCTGGCCCAGTCCACCCCCTGCCCCCAGGTCACCACGGATCTGCACCACCAGTGCACAGACAAGCACACCGGCACCTCCGCCTCGGCCCCGCTGGCCGCAGGCATGATCGCCCTGGCTCTGGAGGCCAAGTAGGTGACAGTGGGGGCCCTGCCCACCACCTGGCCTGCAGGCCCAGCCCCCTGCTCACTGCCCCTGCCCTCCCCCTGCAGCCCGTTTCTGAGCTGGAGGGACATGCAGCACCTGGTGGTCCGCGCGTCCAGGCCGGCGCAGCTGCAGGCTGAAGACTGGAGGGTCAATGGCGTGGGGCGCCAAGGTGCGATGGGGCCTGATGGGGCGGGAATGCTGTGCCCACCAGGAAAGTGACAGCCGCCTCTCCACACAGTGAGCCACCACTACGGCTACGGGCTGCTGGACGCTGGGCTACTGGTGGACATGGCTCGCACCTGGCTGCCCACACAGCCCCAGAAGAAATGTGCCATCCTGGTTGTGCATGTCCCCACGTGAGGGAGGCCCCTCCAAGGCCCTGCACACTGTGCACACCTCCCCCTTCCCCGCCCCCACACCAGCCACCACCACCCAGAGAGCGGGAGCCCCAGGGAGGCAAGCCCTAAGGCTTCACCCATTTGTAAAGGAGAGGGTGGCCCCCTCATCTTGGATACCAGACCCTCCTGCTGGCGCCCACCCCACAGGGGGCCAACTGGAGCGTCCTTGCCCCTGCAGCCCCATTCTGCCCCAGATGCACGTGAAGAAGGAGGTGTCCGCCTGTGCCGGCCGCCACAACTACATCCGCTCCCTGGAGCACGTGCAGGTGCAGCTGTCCTTGTCCTACAGCCGTCGCGGGGACCTGGAGATCTCTCTCACCAGCCCCATGGGCACCCGCTCCACGCTGGTGGCCATCAGGTGTGCGCCCACCCCCACCCACCGGGCCCCGGTAGTCACTGCCGCCCTCTGGAGGCCCTCCCAGGGGGCTCTGGCCGCGTGGCCCCAAGCCCGCCTGAGAGGGGCCCTTCTCCCCCTGCCGCCACCTGCCCAGGCCCCTGGATGTCAGCGGCCAAGGCTACAACAACTGGATCTTCATGTCCACCCACTTCTGGGACGAGGACCCGCAGGGCGTGTGGACCCTGGGCCTGGAGAACAAGG